ACTGCACACAATACTTCAAGTGAGGTCTCATGAGAGCAAAGTAGAGGGGCAGGATCACCTCCTTCGACCTGCTGGTCATGCTCCTTTTGATGCAGCCCAGGATACGGGTGGCTTTCTGGGCTGCGAGCACACACTGAAGCGGCTCATGTTAAGTTTCTCATTGACCAACCCCCTGAAGTCCTTCTCTGCAGGGCTGCTCTGAATCTCTTTTCTGCCCAACCTGTAGCTGTGCCTGGGATTGCCCTGACCCAGGTGTAGGACCTTGCATTTGGCATGGTTAAACTTCATAAGGTTGGCATCAGCCCACCTCACAGGCGTGCCCATATCCCTCTGGATGGCATTCCTTCCCTCCAGCGTATCAACTGAACCACACAGCGTGGTGTCACTGGCAAACTTGCTGAGGGCACACTCAATCCCACTGTACATGTCACCAACAAAGATGTTAAACAAGACTGGTCCCAACACCAATCCGTGAGGGACACCACTCGTTACTGGTCTCCAGCCAGACACTGAGCCATTGACCATAGCTCTTTGTGTGCGGCCACCCAGCCAGTTCTTTATCCACCGAGTGGTCCACTTATCAAACTGATGTCTCTCCAATTTAGAGACAAGGATGTTGTGTGTGACAGTGTCGAACACTTTGCGCAAGTCCAGGTAGATGACATCAGCTGTTCTACCCCTGCCCATCAGTTCCGTAGCTCCATCATAGAAGGCCACCAAACTGGTCAGGCAGGATTTCCCCCTAGTGAAGCCATGCTGGCTGTCACCAAGCACCTTGTTGTTTTTCCTGTTCTTATCATGCCTTCCAGGAGGACCTATTCCAAGATTTTTTCCAGGCACAGAGGTGAGGATGACTGGTCTGTAATTCCCTGGGTCATCCATTTTCCCCTTTTTGAAAATGGGGGTTATATTACCCTAAAGGATCATTTTGCTCATACAGAAAGAATAAGAAAACTTCTTGAAAGGTGGAAACTGGAAATAGAAGCATAAAGAAATAAGGTATGTCTTCTTCTTTAGCGTGTAGTGCAAAGCTGTGCATGCCACAGTGAAGTGTTGCACATACAGGTCTTCTAAAATATACAGTGCAGAACTTGTTGCCTGTGGAAGAAGCGTTGCACTTCTATGCAGACCACAATCATCAGTGTTCCCTTCAGGTACAAATACTTAAATCAGCCATTTGAAACAAGTAAGAACTGAGCTCATTCATAACAAGACAATTGAGAGTTGCAATGGTATAGATTCTTCTAGAAGAACTCAGTATTTTTCTGAGCATCCCTTCAGATATGATTTGAACAAGTTCATCTAAAATTGAAATTCCGTCAGAATGAAAGTCAGTGGGGAAAGCACCACTGATTTTACTGGGACAAGAATTTCAGTATTTATTTTTGGCAGCTTTACAGAGCTTCTTCTGTCCAGCAGTATCTCCTTCCTTCATATATACGTGTATTTGTAAGACTGAAATTCATTCTGCTAGGAAGAAGTTTTCTAAGAAAGCAGGAACTAATCTGAAGAAGACTTTTTTTAAAAAACAGACTTCATGACTCTCAATAAAATTTATAAAATAACTACTGTTCCCTACATACAAGCTTATCATATATGGAAACTCTTATTTGTGCATGCACTCTGAACAATTAAACTTGCATCTCTCTGCTTTATGCTCGGATGTCTCTTTGCACATGTAAATAGTGATAAAATATGGCATTTCAATGCTTAGATTTTTAAAAAAGTATCTCAATGTTTTTGCCCCAGAGCCTGATCTCACTTGTTCTGATACAAATCTCTTCAAGTGCATCTATTGCATTGGTGTTGAGACCGCACTTCTGTTATCCTCAGATTTGATTTTATAAGGGGCAAGGACTTAGAACATTTTACATGTAAATGCCATCTTTATTATTGGCTTGTGGATGACCATGAAACTTTGGCTTCGTTCCATTTTATACAGTGCTATTGTTTGAATGTCAAGAACATTATTAGGTAAAACTGTGGAGTCCTCAGCTTTCAGCTGTTGAAACTACAGCATGTTAGTGATTATACGGTTTTATTACATGTTTTCTCAAGGCAAAAAGAATGGAGGGTTGTCTTTGAAGAAAAAGGTTATACAGCACTGTTCTATACAGTCTACCTACAATTAACACTTTCCTTGATTCTTAAATCAGGTTTTCACAGGCTCTTGCTTGTACTTCTTTTTTCAGCCCCTGTTTGAATAAATATTAATGAGTTCCAGCCACCATCTAACAGACATGACCTAGATCACTTGCATGGGTGGAAAAAGATTTCAGTCTTTAGATTTCAGCTACTTTAACTTTAATAACAGGGAGAAACAGTGGAGGAGGTAGTGCAGTCTAAGAATATATTCACGGGTGTAGGACTGTTTGTGTAAGGCTGCACTGAAGCCTGTATTAACCTTATCATTGCTGTCGTTATTACCCTTGTTAGCTAGACCAAAGGTCCAGTGCGTAGACTCTCCTGCATTGGCACAAAACCACTTAACTCACTGCATCCATGATTCTGGGCTATCTTGAGACTTCAGCATGGCTAAAGTTGCTGAAGTAGCTTCAGGCTGAGCAGAACACTACGCGTTTGTCCTGGGTTCAGCAGTAGCAGTCATTTTTCTCCTTCTTAGTAGCTGGTGCAGTGCTGTGTTTTGACTTTCCTTTCAGCCTGGGAACAGAGTTGATAACACTGATGTTTTAGTCTGACCAAGGACTTTGTGAGTCTCATGCTCTGCCAGGGAGGAGGGGAAGCTGGGAGGAAGCAGAGACAGGACACCTGACTCAAACCGACCAAAGAAGTATTCTATACCACAGCACATGCCCAGTACGTAACTGAGAGTTACCCGGAAGGGCTAGTGGACTGCAGGGTTGGAGGAGGCATCGGTCGGTGCTTTGTCGGGCTGGGGGGGGGGGGCGAGTTATTGGTCAGCGGGTGGTGAGGTGTTGTATTCTCTTCCCTTGTTATTTCCTTTATCATTATTATTATTGGTGGTAGCAGCAGTGATTTGTGTTATACCTTAGTTACTAAACTGTTCTTATCTCAACCCGTGGGAGTTGCATTCTTCTCTATTCTCCTCTCCATCCCTCCGGGAGTAGGGGGAGGGCAAGAAGGGGGAAGTGAGTGAATGAGCTGCCTGAGACTGGTTTTAAACCATGACAGCATTCTGGTCTGGCCTTTTCTTACCCTGCAACTTTATATTGTGGACATTATTGCTAAGGTATTTTCCAAAAGAGGTGCCAAAAGATGGTTCTCAGCTGCTCTTGCCTCTCTGAACTATGGAGAATGAAGAACTGCCAAAAATGAATTTCTCTCACAAACTCATTGCAGATCTGCATACAGGTAGCACAGGGCCAGCATGAGCTTAGCTGGAAAACCAGGCTGTTCTTAGAAGTACTGATTCAAAGAGAACAGTTTCATGGCCAGTTTTCCAGTACTACTATTTTCTAATGTGTCCTTGAAATTTGATCTTTGTCAAACATATTGACCATGGACCTTCATCACTAGGCAGGTCTAAAGTGTGACATTGAATTTCACTCTGAGATACTTTGATAAGTTATCTTATCTGAATAGACAATTTGGATGAAAAAGACAAAGTGCAATGACATAGAGACTAGATGAATGTATTTATTAACATGTAGATAGAGGCTTTTTGTTTGTTTTGTGGTTTGGTTGGGGGTTTTTGTTAATTTTCAGTATCATTTCCCTTGGGTTGTTTTTTTTTTTTTAATTTGTTTTGCTTTCTGGGTTTTTCTGGGGAGTGGGTTTTTTTGTTGTTTTTTGTCTGGTTTTGGTTTGGGTTGGGTTGGGGTTTTTTGTTTCTTGTTGTTTTTTAATTCATACCACTTTAATCAGTCAATCTGGGGGGAGAGGGAAGGAATGAAGGCAGCTATCAAAAAACTCACATTGCAAATCTCTTTTAAACAATTTTATTGATTTGTTTCAATTTTCTGACATATCTACTTCAAGTGCTAAATTGACATCTGACCATCTGGCACCAATGCCTGTTCAGAGTTACTGATTACTGTTCAGATGGAGGCAATGTTTTTATTGGCATACTAACAAGACTTTCAGACACAAAGTTTTGCCTGTTTCTCAGTATCGTGGCTGAGTCATGGCATAGGGGAATACATATTAGTACTGGCATTTGGGTTGAAAGTGCTGGATTATTTTTTTTTTTTAATGTGGTTTGCAAGCACAACAAAGGAGAAGAAACTCATCATTTATTAACATTGTCATGCACTGGAGATGAAAATGCAAAAATGTAAAAACCCCGCACAAGAAAATAGCAAGACCTGCTTGTAGAGTTTCATAACAGAAATAAAAGAAAGAATGGTATAAATGAACTATAAATGCAAATATGTGCATGAGAGTAACAGAAGAAACAGCAGAACAGGGGTTAAGAGAATCGTATTGATAACGAAGGACGTTCCCAGGACACCGCTCCCAGGAGACCTTTCCCAGAAGCAAAATTGTGGCATGTATTTTGTCTGCCAAGATGTGAAGGTCTGTGCACTGATAAGACCACAGCACAGATGCCTTGTCAACTGGATGACTGCAGACAGGTTGCAAATCACATACGCTTGTCTTATTAGTCCACCACAAAAACAGAAGCAGATTTCAAACAAACAACGAAGAACAAAGACAAGACCTTGCTTGTAACATATAGAGATTGAAATAAGGAAGCTGCTGAAGCAAAAGACTCCCATAATAGCTCCTGAAGTGTGTAAAAGATCTGTCCCCCTAGTATTTCACCATTGCTAGTCAAAAGAACATCAGAGATCTAACAAGGAGTTAGTAACTCATGCCCTCTATGTGTGTGTTCCTGGGCAGACCACTTGGACACGTGTCCTGATATTTCTGGGTCTGTAGATGTGTGACTGAACTAATTCAATCTGAGACTGAATGCATGGGAGTTGGTAAAATCAACCTACTTAAGAGACCATAGAAAACAATATTGCCTTCTACTGCACAAGATTTCACATTTGTTAAAATACTGTCTTACCTACATCATGGACAACTTCTTGCAACTTCAAAGTACTGTCTACTTTACCATTCTTATCTGAAGGACAAAGCCAGAGAGGATAAAGTGAAAGAGACTCCCTTTCAGGGGAATTAAACAATAAACGCATGATAACCATTTAGATGTTTTGCTGGACTCTGTGACAAGTCTTTTAAAATGAAAGCCTGGCTGATCCCCTAGTATGCTGTGTGATCAAATATAGCCTGATGTCATGACAACTCGGTTGGCCTTGTATGACTTAGTTTCCAGAAAAGCTGGAGCATAAACCCATCAGAAATGCCCACAGATTTATACAAACAGAAATTATGAAGTCACCTATGCACAGTTTCTACATGCTGAAGAGCTATATGACTGAGTTAAAGTAGTCACAACACTCTATAGCTAGGTGCTGTGCCCAGCCATACAGGTAGATATTTGGGTAACAATGCTGGCTCTGAGATAGAGTAGATACAGTTTTAAGTTAAGCAGAATTGCTTTTACATTCACCAGAGAAAAGGATAATGGTCCTAACTGTGCTCCCAAGTCCTGCTGTTCAGCTTTATTAGCTTTAGTGGGGACAAATGAACTGTATTCGCCTGACTGCTTCTAACATCAGAAATGTATGTTGAAAGCAAGGTTCAATGCTATTAAACCCCACAGATCTAACTCAACCCACAACAATCTGGTTAGTGATGTGAGGTTAGATGTGAGCTGCACTTGGAAGTGGGGAGGATCTTCACTGGTTTAGGCTCTCGAAGACTTACTCACTGTTGATATAAAATAGGAGGAATAGTGTAAACAGTGTAATGTAGGATGATATATGCACATTTGCTGTCTTGACCAGGGGCTTTCCTGTCTTATGTCAAAATAAGGATGTCCTCCAGCAGTGGAAGAAATCATCTGGCTAGATATTCGTTTGTTCCCTAGTCATATGGCTGTCACTGACACATTTGTATCATAAGGAAGGACAATTGCATGAGGTACATATCACCTGGTAGGCATCTGTCCATGTGATGCATACATGCATCCAGTTAATAAGCTGAGGTGGATGTCATGTTGCTTGCAGGAATGGTGATCATCTGACAAGACACAGCCTCAGCAAATGTTTTTTAGCACCTCCATAAATTGTTTGTGATCCATCCTGCGCTTACTGAAGCTGAAGTAAAACCTATGTTTTTTAATCTGGTGAAGGAGCAAAATACTTGTGATGAATTACATTCCATCTAATATTACAAAACAGATTATATCCTCGATAGACCCACTGGTTTGTAGCAGTTATGAGGGCAAATAAAACAGCAAGTCAGATTTTTTTTTTTCTTGAATTTAACCTTTCTAGTAGAAGTTTCATTTTATTATTGCGCTGGTTAACAGGTTAACAGGTAAAGGCTGAAACTTATCTCAGTTACCTTGATGACAAGTGACTTAGTTTCCACAATAAAAATGCTCACAAGAAGACAACTCTTTCCTGGACCACCTGTACCAAAAAACATTTCTACACTACCAGAAATTGCATTTCTGACCTTAATTCTTACAAAGTATAGATCAGTGAATAAAGTCACATCTCAAACCACACATCAGTAGAGCTCCAAAAAAAAAAATCTCCCCCTCTCCCCATCCTCACCCCCACTTAAATGTCTAATCTGAGTGCACTAACTACAGAAGAGATATTCCTGGGATCACCAATAGGTACCATCAACATTGGTACCCCAATAAGAAGTATTAGTCAAAATAAGTAATGAGTTACTCAGTAGTTGAGTGGCACATTTTCCAGTGACCTGCAAGGACTGATTTAAGGCTCAGTAACATAAGCACCTCCTTAAAGAGAAACCACTTTTCTCATGCACAGCCTATATATGGTTATACGCGGCGGATGAACAGGGTTCACATGAAAGAGAACTGCAGAGAATGAGTTCAGGAACAGACGAATAGTTCTGCAGTGTTGTATCCAAAAATAGGTACAATTCACTCACAGGTGCAATTGTTAATTATCAGTGTTCTTGCATCTTTTTCTTTTTTCATTTTTTGTCAGCTCCAAGTATTTATTTATATACTTGCCTAAGATTTACCCTTAGATTCTCTAAGGTTTATCCTCTCTTTGCACTTTTTCATTCATTTTATCTTTTTATCTTTGATTATTTTAAACGTTTATTTCCACCATACAATTTCTTAAGATTTCAAATTTCATTTGATGGCAGTATGTTCCATCTTCTATACTTTCATTGCCAGTTATTTCCCTGTGGCAAGAACTTTACAGCATTCTCAGATGGGAACTTATTTTTGGATAAGCAGCAAACGAACCTTCAGAGATCTCTTTTTCAATTCAGTTTTCATGGTACTGTGAGATGACAAATTGTAAGTTCACCTCCATTATTTAGATATAACCCAATCTGTCCAAGTCTGTATCATCAGTTTTTACTTTCTAGGTTTTGGCTCTTGGGTCTGTCTTCTCCACAGCATACAAGTTTTCTTTTGCTTTGCTTTAGGAATTGATTTCTGTCACATGGAGTTAACAATTGGCTACAAAATGCCAGGGGAAGTTTTCCACTTTGGCACCATTCCTCTCCAAATACAAAGCAGGCTGCTCTTACTCAGTGAAGGCACAATTAACTACTCTCTCTTTGATTTTATCTTCTAAAGGGCATAATCTGCTGAAATTACAAGACAGCATACTCGTTGTCCATTGTTTTCCACAGTCAGGGGCAGCCTCTGGCTCTGTAGCATGTTAACTATCCAAAAGTCTGTCCCAAATAATTTCTGCCTCACCACAGCTATTTATTTTTTTTCGAGTGTGATTGCTACAGTGCTTCCGAACACTCTTTATATTACACCCTTCTTTCCACTTCTCAAGAGTCACTGGATTGCATCTGACAAAAGAGATTTCCCCCTGCAGGTGAAGCATTTGGCATCATCAGGCCTTGAACTGGTTCTTGTAGCACCATGGAAGATACACATATCAGCTCTTTACATCCCTGTTGCATGTTTTGGGTAATCAGTTCTCCCAGAGCCATCAGTGATAATCTCTTGTTCTCACAGCAACACAGCAATCTTCAGCTGACCTAGAGGCCACACTTATTAGCAGACAGAGATTACTTGTAGGAACACATCAGGTTTATCACTTTAGAAGGTCACCCTGTCTACAACAGTATTGGCAACTAAGTTACAGAAAATTAAAAGATAATTAAATCTGGTTTTATTGTCTATCCAAACATGTTAAGTCCACTTTCATGTCTTCATTAACATTTCTTTCCCAGGCATCCATCAGCCATGAGGCTGAAGATGGGACTGACTAAGTGTCCTCCCTAACAGCAAAATCACTGTGGTTATGCATGGAATCAGAGGAGTAACTGATCAATGCAAACTAGCTGTAGAGACTTGCCATTTCACTCTCTGTATTGTACTGTCAACTAAAATGTGTGTTCTTTTATCTGGTATGCCTTGGACGTTGACACTTGTAAATGCTGAGTCTGTCATAGAATCATAGAATAGTTAGGGTTGGAAACCTTCTATTTGCTGCTTTTTATAAGAAAGTCAATTTTATTCAGTAGAAACACTGGAGGGAGGTTTTCCCATTCTCCCAAGGGATGAATCTCACAATTTATCTTGTGCTTGGTACTACTCTTTCTAAGACAAACCATTTTTTCACTGAGTTTTGCATCCTTTTATACAAGATCTAGCTCAGGACACAGTAACTGCCTGTCCTAGTGTCACAACAAAAATAAAAATAAATAAAAAAATCAACTTGTTCTGAAGTTTATGGAATTAAAAGTGGTACATACGTGTATTAAGTGATAAAACTTGAAATGGGAGGTTTTGACTGAATAGCAGCTGCACCAGTACATTGTAAATGCTAGAGAATCTTACCACAGACATTGAGGGCTGACCTGCCTTTTCTTGCTGTTCTCATTGAGCAGTGAATGCAGAGTCTCCTAACTGATCTGTTTTGTTTCCTAATTTTCTTGGCAGTGCTGACTCCTTAAACGTCAGAAAAAAGTTGCAGCTGAAGGACTGAACCATTCTTTCCTAACAATTAGTGAGGTGAAAAGCCATTTGTTTCAAGGTGTTGTACTTAGAAAACTCAACAGTGATAATCACACTCTGGAAGCATTCATAGAAGCCTAATGTAAATCTTAAGAGGTATCTTATGTCTCCATTTACCATTCTTGGAGAATGTAAATATCTGTACTTTGAATACTTTAAAGCATACAGTGAGCTTGTTGTGAGGAATAATTTATTATTTTAGGTCTGCTTCTTCCTTATGATCAGCTCAAAGGTCCTTTCAGACAGACATTTTCAAATGTCAGTGTCCAAACCATAAAGGAAGGGGTGTGTCAATGCATCACTGAACTTAATATGTACAAAAAGCCTAACCTAAAATAAACCCATTAGAAGGTTCCCACTGACTTAACAGATTTAAGTCAGGTCAATAATTACTAAAGCTGAGTCTATCTTATGTCTAAGATCTTACATCTAAACACAGACTATCTTTTAAGAACATCAGGTCTACAGGTAACACTAAATTAGGAGCTCTCGTCTTGAATATTTGCATTCTGCAAGGGGATAATATTTTGCTGTTTGCATTTTTTTTCTACACGGAAGAGACTCATGGATGTGGAGAGAGGTTTGAGGTGAAGGTGCTAGTCAGGATCTGAAGTTGCACAGAATGGTAAAGAGGAGTCAAAGAAGAAAGAACTTGCAAGAAGGAACAGCACTCAGAATTCTGGTGTTATTTCCTTTTTTCCCATATCTCAAAGACACTGTGATTTCTGGTTTTTCACAGTCTTGCATCAGTCTCTCAGCACAAAGAAAAATGCTGCATTTTCATAGACTAAAGCTGGTCTTTGTTCTAATTATTCCCAGAAAAATTACCCAGAAGAAAATTATATACGAAGAATTGCAAAGAAAAAATGGGGTGATTGGGTCTTTCCCTTATTATACTATCTTTAAGACTAAAGACAGTGAAAATAAAGCGCTTAACACTCAGACTTCTTTCTTCCTTGTACAGCTCTGCTGATCCTGTGTGTTGAAGCAGAAACGTACAATTTGGCAGTGGGATGCTTTTA